ACTTCACAACAAAATAGTCACAGATAAAAGAGCTAGTAAGAATTATTACATTAATTTATTTTTAATCCACTAATATGTTCATTAAATGTCTTCAACAATCTGATATCTGTCAGACGACCTTCACTGGTTGAAAACAGAGTACTTCAGCATTAAAATGATACTCAGTTTATCATATTAATGACTATATACTACTCAGAGAGCCCTACAAGCAAACAAGAGTTGAAATTTGGATGGCAATTCTGAATGCCATGAAGTTTTATTAAGGGAGGTCATAACAACTTGCTAGTTAAGAAAGCTGCTAGACAAGTTATACCCTGATAAAAATGGGAACATTAAAATCTTTTCCCAATTCTTGTTGCAGATTAATTTATTACATACCTTCAGAGACATAAGTAAAAGGCTTATTCCTAATGGAAAGCATTGTAAATAAGTTGAAAAAGAGAGCCACGAAAGTACCAACCAGCAGTCGCCCCCTAGGGAATGTTAAAAAAAAAAGCAGCATCTTAATTTCACATAATCACAAACATAAAATTAAGCTGTAACTACCAGTAAAGATATCAAAATACTTCACTTGGTATCTTTCACTAACACTGAAAACAAGAATAAGCTAAACTGCTGGAAGGCTTAATAACTGGCAGTGCATTTCCATTTTAAGCGTTACAGATATCCCTGAACTTTGTACGTTATTGTTACCACATTAGGCTGTTCATAACATTTAGAATGTTGAGTAACAGTTCTTAACTAACTGCACATACGCACACACATACGTTTGTCCTTTGAAGATAAAAATACATTGCTCCTCAGCAGAAGAGCTAAAAAAAGCTTAGTTTCCTATGGAATGCCTCTACTCTTTCCTAGGAGTAAAACTTCGCCGTACATCCCACCTCTCAGTCTTTTTGCTCCATAACACCTTTTTTTCCCTTTCCCCACGATATCTATAGTCATCATCTTTGCAACACCTTCCATTCCCTAAGGATCACAGCGTCCCTCTCCCGACATACCAGCCCTCCCAAGAGGCCTCTATAAGAAATGAGAGTAAACTAGCAAAATCAGCAGCATACAGTTAAATCACTATTTCAGAGAGCATGTGCATTACATTTCAATTGTACTTTTAAAAAAATGGTTTGCAATACAGCTTGCACATAGCTTGAAACAAATGCCAAGGCACCAAAACCAATTTAGTGTTGAATGTACTTGCATAATTAATACATGCTACATTAGAAACACAAAGGGACACTGAAAAACTATCATTTTACATGCCAAATTAATTTCTTACGTGTGTATCTCAGGTTGTTCCAGAAACCGCTCTGCACTACAAAAATAAAGGAAAATCAGAGTTATATTCATACAATAAAACCTTGATACCTGAAGCATATTTTCAGTTCTGAAGAATTAGCTGCCATTCATAAACAAAACCTGACAGATAAAATATTGCAAAAAAATGAATTGCTTAAATAAGCATAGCAGTTTTTACAAGTGACGAAAGCATTTAAGACTGAAATGAAGCAGGGTGTAATTTAGATTTTTCCAGCTATTTCCAAACTGTGCCACATGGGTGATAGCTGCCTGCAGAATAAAAAGATGTTTATAAATGAACATGTCAAAAAGTACTGCTGTCGCCATCACTGGTGTTGGTAACCACAACAAACTAAATCTAAAATCCCTGACTTAACGGACTCTTATTAACAAGGCCAAATAAAGTAGACGTTGGATACAGTGGTGGAGATACAAATTTTTTTTTATCCACCAGTAAAGCAAGAAATGAGCTTCAGCTGTAACAGAAAAACCTATGCTACGTTTTGGGCATTTCTTAAAACCAGTGTTCAAAAAATTGGAGGCTTTGACAGTGCAGAATTATTAGAATTAATTCCAGTGTATTGTCAGTACAGCAGATCATCCTATAATACAAAACTGCTAAGTTGTCAGCACAGCACATGTGTATGTTAAATTATCACTTGAACAAATTTTGAGGGACTGATGAAGTTGAGAGTTTAAATATTTAAATTCTTAATATATTATGAAGTTGCTTTACTTCATGAAGTAACTGAAGAAAAAAAAATCAAAAAATATTTACTTATTAATGAACTTGAAAAGTCTAACTTTCTGGGAATTATGATTCTTAAGAACATCAAGTCTTTTCCTTGAAATTGGATTTATCAATTCTCATCATTACCTCTAAAGCCTGCATGTAGTGTAATCCATATAAGTAAGCAGCAAAGTTTAGTAATATTTAAACCAATCTTAAGTTTCTTCTACAACATCTCTCTACAAACAGCTTTTGTAGAATGTACATAGTTTTGCTCAATCTGCTCCATCTTTGTAATTAACAAAAAAATTGAAGAAAGTGGTACGTAAACCTACCTTTCTTTCAGTATAAAAAGAGCACCAAGCTGTGCCAGAACTGTAGATGCAAATACAGCTAGAACTTCAAACCTTTCAAACCTGAAATTTGAGAATTAAGTTTAGAAACACTGAACATTGAACAATGCATCAAATGCATTCTGGTCTGTGCAGGAACCAGCGGGACAGACCTGTTATTACCAATTCCTTTCAGAGCAGATAGATGGGAATAAACTGGAAGGTTTCAATTCCTTTTAAGCCAAAACTGCACTCACCACAAACAGCTTAAAATCCAGCATTTCTTCATTCTTTTTCCTGTTCCTCCCCTTTCCACTCCTATTCTATAACTGTTCTTTACAGCAACGGTCTTGGGCTTCCTTATTTTTCAGCTCTTTTACACCCTAGGCATGGCCGTCAGGGGATACGGGCAATGACAGTCAGCAACATATCAAATGTATTATCAAACACCAGATCTTGTTATTAGTACTTACCCAAATGAATAGGCTGGGCTGGGTTTCTTCATCATTACCCAATAGCTTATTAGACATGTTACCAAACTGAAAAAAAGAGGAGAATTAGGTCTGATAAATAACTGCAGGCTTTAGGAACTAGATCAGGTAGAAATGTACACTTCAGCCATCAGAACTGAAACACATCTTACCATGAACTCAACACCTTCGTCACCGTCACAACAACGGTTCCAGTGACTCCAGAAAAGGTTGTGCTTGGAAATAAAACTGAGACTGCATGAGGAGGTCTCTGCTGCTCCCATAGAAAGGGCAGCAAATAATTTGAGCAGAATGGTAGTTGGTCTAACTCCTTACACCAGGAGACAGTCTAATGCTGTGCTTAGAAAGGCTACCACCGACCTTCTTCAACACAGAACATCCCTCAGCCTAAAACAAGTTTACACTGCACAGAGAAATTCATGACTCAACTCAGTTGTTACTAGTCGTTTTCAAGAGAGCCATGGTGCTTCCCACCATCTAATTACTGTGATGTACAATTTTATATTTGTTTAAGCTTTATTTAAACCAGTTACTGTTTCTCTACTGACAACTCCAAATAACATATTTGTATCTGTAAGTAAATTTTATGTGTATAGAAATATACAAAGATAGGCACAAATGAACAGTAAGGCTAAATGGGAAAAAACTCACCTGAAAAGGTCAAAGATTGTCAAATATGTGTAAGCAGTTAAAGCTGTGAAAAAAAAAAGCAAATATTAACACCTAATTTTTCAGTGCAGAAATCACTTTTATTCTTCTAAGTCCCTCCTGTGCAGCAATTATCCATCTTCTATCTGCATAAACTGTCTGTGCTGATAGAGTAAGTCTCTGTCTTTGTATGTGTATATAATATGAATATCCTAAACACACCAATACATTTAACTTGATAAACAGGTTGATTATGGCAATCCTAATAAAGCATGTAATAATGCCCAGAGACAAAAAGTATTAAGTTTGTGACTAAGAATTCAAATACAGAAAAGTCAGGAGTAACAGTAACACATCAGTAACACAACAACTGCCAAAGCAAGAGATCTCTTATGGAACCAGATGATCATTTGGTTGGGAAAAGATCTCTGTGCAGTGAAAAGCAGGTTCAACAGAATTTTTCACTTGTTTTGCTTCTTCGACCCATCTTTTAACTCCAACAACACCTGTGTCATGTTAAAAATGGAAGGCATTCTACCTTTAGCGCAGATAACAGGAAGCATCTTGGAGCCCCTATATAAAATATTGAAAAGGGGCAATCCTGGAATAAGAGAAGACTTTGGCCACACTACAAATATCTTCATTCAATGTCAGGTGAGGGTCTCTATTTGTCCCTGGTAGTATTTATAACAAGGAACAGGTTTGAGGACTAGCTTAAAAGTCTCCTTTTTTTTATCTTAAAGATAAAAATGGGAGTGCAGGAAGAAAATGACCAGCAGGACTGGAAAACCTTTCAAACTTCTCAGGACTTTCACCCATCCACATCTGCATGTGAGAAATGCCTCTGAACTAACAGTGGAAGCAGTTTCCAAAGCTGGCTACACAGTCACCTAACTCCATTACATCCTGAACTTTGATTTTTAAGTATGTTGGAACTTCACAAGCTAAGAAACACATGGTAGCTGGTTGTAGTTTCAGTACAAGAGAGCCACTTACCTATGCTGTTTGTAGAGCTGCACCACATTAGCAGGAAACCAATACATATTAAATTTATAGCACCAAACAGCAAGATTTTCCAGGACTGTTGATGACAATAAATATGTTTTACGTCTTCCAAAATTTACAAGACAAAAATACATGCATCTGGTTTCAACAAAACAATTTTGCAGTACCTCACCATGCAAGCAGGACTCACTTGTCCTTCCTCCCAAAATTTTACAACTAATTTCAGAACAACAAGCTCGTATTTTGCTTTTCATTTCACAGATTGTGTCAAAACACATTAATAAACAGTGCTTGTGCGCCATGCTTAAAATATCTTGTTGGTCTAAAAAACCCACCCCTCTATAATATTTGCATTCTACTAAGGCACACACCACCTGACTTTTGAAGACAGACTTACATAACTTTATATTAGTGGGTTTCTTTCTTTACGCCGGAACTTAGGTTCCAAAAACATGGCTGCATATTCAGCTTACAGTTCTACCAAAAGCATTAAATTTAAGTACAGCTCTGGAGAACACTCATTGACAGGTATAACGTGCAGGAATGAATCCAGCTTCAGAGCTGGATTATTTTTTTAAACACAGCTAGAAAACTGCAAAGAAAATTTCTCAAAATATATTCAAATTAATAATGTATTTTAACCTATCACAGCTAACATCCTTTTTATTATTATTCATTTATTAGAAGAAATACTTACCCTCCTATCTGCTGCAACAAGCCTAAACTCATGTGTTAACTTTCCAACCAATGATCTCTGTGATTTGCGGAACAGGTGTATTGTCCCCTTAAAAAAAAAAATAGTTTAACTAAACATTTCATTTAAAACAGTTTAAATTAGCAAAAACAAATCTTAATTTATTAAGTATTTTCATAATTATAGCAAAGACTCAGAATGAGTTGTTTGTTAACTAGGGATAGCCCAGAAACATTAAACAAAACGATATTTTTGATAACAATTTTGCATGGTTATTATATTAGAAAATTAAAATTAAAAATAAAGATTTAGATACATAGCAGAATTCAAATTTCCTGAAAAATATGCCAAAATGTGGGGGGTTTCTACTTTTCTTTAAAACATGGAATCACAGAATATGTTGGGCTGGAAGGGACCTTTAAAGGTCATCTCGTCCAACCTCCCTGCAGTGAGCAGGGACAGCTTTAACTAGATCAGCTTGCCCAGAGCTCCATCAAGCCTGACACTGAATGCCTCCAGGGATGGGGCCTCCACCACCTCTCTGGGCAACCTGAGCCAGTATTTCACCACCCTCATGGTATAGAGCTTCTTCCAGATATCTACATTAAACCTACCCTGCTCCAGTTTAAAAACACTGCCCCTCATCCTGTCACTATACACCCTTGTAAATAGAATATATATGTCTAAATAAATAAAAACTAAATACAGATGTTCTGAAAACACAAACATCGTTCTTCATCCAAGCACACTTCCCACTCAAAGCCTACAGGTTTATTAAACAGGAAAATACTGTTTATACATACATACAAATGAGAACCAGAAGTGAAATAAAAACAATGCTGGTATCATCTTCACGGTGGCAGACACAAGGCCAGTACCATGAGGAGACATACAAACAATCTCAGTCATGGCTTAATCACCTAAATTCACACAACAGATGGGGATCACTCCAGGTGCTCCCTCTCTTAATCCCCAGTTACACACAGATAAGCTTTTGCCTGGGGTGGAGAAGACACGTGCAGGTAGGAGATGGGAGCGAGGTGCTGCTACATGGCTCTCTCAAAAGTGTAATGGGGAGCAGACTACCAGAAAAGTTCATGTACCATGCCATTTGCTCCCCTTCCTCAGAGGTCCCAAGCTTCTAGTTAATTGTCCCCCACACTACTCTCCCCACAAAGAAGCTTTCCAGGTGAAAACCCCTTCTGATTTGCAACAGAAATTTGTGGACTTGTAACAGATGGTCTGTCATAAGCATTAATTTCAGGCTAGATGAAATAAGCTTTGAAGGTAAGCTATTGCATCTGTAACTGCCAGCAGAAGACAAAAAGACATACTAACAAACAGGCTAGTCACCAAAAATGACTCCACTTACGGACACATCTGTCAATACAGCCGTATTTCATACTATCTGTAGAAATACACATTTACCTTGGTGCCACGAATTAAAAAAGCAGCACTGTAGATCCAAAGTTTAGCACACCTGGGGCAAAAGGCTGGCACTTACTATTTTCTTTACTAGCAAATCATTACACATTGGGGTTTTTTTTCTGTCTCAGCAGACACACACAGGATGACAGAACACTTTGGAAAGCTTTTCTAACAGGTAGTGGACTGCCTGTTTACAAAGGCTACTCTAAAACCTTAACACCCATCACTTGCCTATGCTGCTAGCACTATGCCCACTATCCAACTGCAGTGTGCTCACTTCCCTGCCTGCCCACGGCTGCCCCGCATCCAGCTTGTGTAGTCTGTACCACTGGGGAGAACCTCCTGCAAACCCACGCCAGGCACAGCTCACCCCTGCAACTGAGCTCTAATTCAGCAGATGCTGTGCTCCGGCATTAAAAGCTTCCCTGGCTCCTAAGCTTCTGCCAGCGGAGAAGAACACCTCTGTGCGGAGCAGGAGGGCAGCTACCCCACACCCCAGCAAAGGTGCCCCGGGCACGCTCCAGCAGCTGCAACGGCTGTACGAGAAGCGTTTCTACAAGGAGCAGCTCCAGCGAGGCGCACAGGCCGCGCTCCGTGAGGCCAACCCGCCCGCGCTCAGCACCTCACGGGCAAGTTCCCACACACCGGCTCCAGGAGCGCGCGCGGCGGCCCCCCCC